TTACAGGCCTCTCCCATCTTTTTAAGTGGGAGAACTTGCACAATTGGTGACTGACTAAATACTTATTTTCCCCACTCTATAGGGCAGAACTTGACTCTGTGCTTCCCAAGCCGAGGCCCTGCTGTGCCCAGTGAGGCCCACTGCTCTTCTGTATATTCTCAGGTTGCTCTGCCATCTGCACAGGCAGCTCCTCCACAAGCACGAGTCTGCAGCAAAGGTGGGGAAAACTCTTAATATTTAGCTGGTGTTGTAGATTGTTTTTATGGAATTCATTCCAGAAAAGAAAAAAAAAGTGGAAGTACTAACATACAAGTTCAATTGAATACAAATGTGCAAACACAGTCAAGCTGTGTTTGCACTGTCTGCTCAACCCACTTGTCCCTCTCAGGCCCCCCACCCCTAACCTTCACCCCTCAAGACCCTGCATTCCCAGCATAGTCGGCAGTGGGGCTACAGGGCATGTCACATATTGAAGAAAGCTACATGTTGGACACCATGCAGGGCTTTTGGACCGCTCTGCTGACAGCACATGTATTGTCAGTGAAACAGACCTTGACTTTGACCTTCGCTCTGCACCCTCATTATGTTCTGTAGCTGTTGGATTGTATGTGGTGTTAGTATATCACTCAATTCAAAGATCTGTTTCTTTATTTGGTGCAAAATCTGCCCTATTGTTGCTCTGGTAAAGTCCAACTGTTTTTTTTTTTTCAAGCCTGGGCAGCAACAACTCCTAATCCAAGGTCTTACAAAGTGTGTTTTAGATTTTATGAATACATATAATAAAATATCTCATACATTACAGCTTTTTAGTCAAATCTAAAGGATTTGGGAAGCAGTTTATAAATGYGAAAAGTATTACGGACATATTGAGGCTCATTAAGAACTTGAACACTGATTGGAGTGAATGAAACATGATTTTTTTWAAAACCGATATCCCTGTTTCAAGATGTTGCCCTCTTTTTAATGCAAGATGGGTTTAAGGAGAATTGTTGACAGCAAACACTTGAGGATTTGATCCAATCTGTGTTGCAGAGCTGATCAGAGAACGACACAGTTCTCACAGAGTGCCACAGTGCTGTACCCAGGAGTAACATGGCCTTGTACCTCAAGCTCCAAAACTATTTTAAGGTCTTCAGATCCATAATGTCTCTGGTCTGTGATAGAGGCCTGGGAAGCCGGTCCGATACAATGAAGGTGTTATGGCTGTTCATGCTAAGCTTATTACGAGTGTCTCATTCCTGAACAAAGGAGAGAGACACGTCCAGCCACAGCAGGGCCCTAAGCTGATCCCTCAGCCTCAGTCTAGACACAAAACAAGGAGACCTGCATGCACAGACTGGCGTCCAGTGAAACCCATATATCTCATACGAGTTGTTCTTAGTTTTGTATTAGCACACACGTTACACAAATTAGTGAGGATTACACAATAGCTGCACCCTCCAGATTGCAGATTGTCCAAATATCTGATCACCACATGAACACTAAAGAGGTTAAAGTTTGAAAGACGGTCGGAATGATCGGAACGTAGGTGTTGTTTATGTTCTTTAAAACGGAGAGGGAACATAACAAAACCTTGTCTTCAATAACAGGATGTACAACTGCAGCTTGTTGTGAGAATGAAGGTGAATTGAGAGGCCAAACTGCAGCTGGATGGAGCAACAACACTGATGCCTGACTCCACAAATCCTTCCGTTAGGATCTAAACTATCCTCTTAAAAAAATATATATATATATATACACATCACCAGTCACTGAAAGCCTGTACTCAGGGACAGAACACTCACAGTGACGTTTGTGTTCCTATTTTTTTTTTGTAAGTTTTGCATTTTATTTACTTCTGCATACTTTTTGCACATTTCACCTAATCATATATCAAAATGTTCAGCACATTCAGGAGCTGGATCTTATTTTGCAGCTTTTATATTATGTTTAATATTCAACTTACAAAAAGTTTCCTCATAGAAAAACACAATGCACTTTACTTTTGCCTTCTCATGCTACTTTTAGCTACCATTCTGTTACGTTTAGCTTAAGGTAGCTTAATACTACATTTAATAAGCCTTTTAACTCTTAGCTTTTAGCTACCATTCTGTTGCTTTTAGCTCAAGGTGGCCTGATGCTACATTAGCCAGCCAGCTGATGCACTTATTTTACACAGGTCGTAAAATGTGTCCAGATAAACTGCCCTTAAGGTTGTTGGTTAACATGAAGGGGGAAAAAAAAAACTTGAAGCAAATACATTATTCTGTCTTTTATTAGGGTATGTTTGTAAAGCGCAATCCAAATTCACAGGAAATATTTATCTTCCAATAAACTGACCATGCTTTCTAATATTAATGGGGATTTTCAATAATGGAATTTTTCACAAGCAAAAAGCTTACATAAATAACCAAGAACAAGAAACAAAAATTCCCAATGAACACAACKTTTTTTTGTATTTAATGCTTCTGAAAAGCTTAAAAGTATACTTTTATCACTCATAAATTTTCTTAAGAATTGTGTGTTCATTTGTAGGTGTTCGCATTAAAATGATAAAAGGCCACTGAAAACCTGTGAGGAAGGGGACTCCGAGTTAAAAAATAGGACAGTTCTTAAACTACTGCTTTGGAGTGAAGGTAAATGCTTGTTATAACTGCAAATACATTTACAAATAAATGTATATASTTATTTGTTGTTCTATTTGCAAAACTACTCGATCAGTGCTGATGTTTGATCCAGTGCTCCCTCTAGTGGCTGACAGATGTAACACCTCAAAGTGATAAAACCAGGAAAATAACTACAATAAGACACATGGTTGGTAAAAAATAAAATAAAATAAAAGAGGGAAAAATCCAATCATTGAACATGCTTTATCAAAGAATAATTTAGAGGTTTCCTGAACAATAGTAAGACAATTTCTAACAGTGCCTAATATTATTTCTACATGTTTACAGCAGCTACTGTATAGAAAAATATCAGACTCTGGATGCATAGGTTCATTTCAACTGTATTATGTTGTTTTCTAGAACAATACGCAACCCACAAACAAATATATTTTCAACAGAACCACATTTTATAAAAAAATGCAAACAAGTAGCTTCCATTCAACCAGGACACAGAAGAAAAGATAAATTTCATTTCATCATAAGCCTTGTTTTCCTCACAAGATTTTTCACTTCCTGAAACCCCAGCCTTCCACACATGGCACAGCTTCACTTAACATTTTTTATTTTTTAGCTGTGAGTATCAAATACACTCTTGTGAATGAGTTTTGCTCAAACACTTTCCTTGTCCCTCTGTACTATTACCATCACTTCTGTACTATTACCACCACTTTTGAACTCTTTTGCACAATTGCAAATTACTGTTGACACAAACATAAATCCATCTTGTTAAAGAAATACACACAATTTAATTGCAAAAAAAATCATAGAGATGTGTATGAGCTATACCTTTGAGCTGATTGTATAACATGAGTGGTGTCCCTTCCTGCAGTTAGAAAAATGTGAAGCTTCTGAACCACGGACTAATAAAAGCAGCAGCTCCACCTAATACGACATACCCTTTAAACCAGATAAATTATTTATTTAGTGTTTATAATATGTCAGTACAGAATCTGTAACATTTTATCATTTCTCTATCAATTAGAAAACAATAACTAAGGCAAAAAAAATTACTTAGAAATAATAATAAAAAAAACACTTGTTCGACTGGCACTGAATATATCAAACTGAAACCGTTAGTAGAACTGTGATGTTCTGTGTTCTTCATCTGTTACATAAAAATAACTCAACATAAAGTGCAAAACAAAACATCACTATAAATGCCGGAAGAACACAAAAATGCTCATTCACAAAACCGAAGTCATCCAGTTTGCCATGTTTTCCACTTCTTTCTTCAAGCAAAAAAAATAAAACAAAGTTATATTATTTACCGAAGCAAATGAAAGCTTTGATCTGACGTTAGTGTCTTTGCTGGTTGGATTGAATTTTTGGTCTTGACTCTAATCAAAAGATAAACTGATGAGAACTGTAAAATTTCTAATGGAAAGCTTGGTGTCAAACTTAAACGGTGGATGTTGATAGTAGTTTTTTTCTTCAAAAAAGGCCTTAATGGCTGAAACGTTGATATAACGAAACAATAACGTTAACTGTAAGTGCTACACTTTGAACTTTTCTTAGAATCAACAAAACTCAAAAATGGAATGAGCACTTCACATTTGACAGCACTCATCTTTATAACACGATGCCAAACGGATGTGATGCATTGCAGCATAAAAAACTGCTTTGTGAGGTGGAACCCTACTCTTAACTATATAAATGAGGCTTTTGTTTTGCAGTTTAAAAAAAATAAAAGAAAATGGACAGAGCTACATATACCAAAGATGATTTTAAGGAGTGGAATTGGTTTTACTCCAGCAATGAAGGGATATAAATTAAAGCATGTTTTGACCAATAAAAGCACTTTTAACTCAAATATACCTAAATCTTAACTTGCCTTAGCAATCAGGCTAATAATAGACACTACAGTTTGGGCCACAAGCATGTAGAAAAGTGTGTAGACAAGTGAGAACATCTTAAATCACTCTGTAGGTGATTCTGGAAATCCAAGCTGCTGTGCTGGTCCTGCTCTGTGGTTAACGATGAGTAAACGTAACGTCAATCCTTTCTGACATCTTCTGTACTTTGTCTTCTCTTTCTCTTAAAGTTCACAGCCAGATTAAAAACGTGTCCTTGTAAGGCGATTGCAGGGTTCCGTTCAAGTCCAGCCCATTAGGAAGACGAGTCAGCGTCCCCCCTCTGTTGACCTACTTGAGCCTTGGCACAAACTGCAGTGGGAACAAGTGCTGAAGAGAAGAGAAAGGGGGCCCAAATACTTTGCACATAATCAAGGATACCATGCATCAGCGGACAATGCAGTTGGAGCTGGTTTGGGTACATTAAAGCAGCAGAAGGGCCAGAAGAAGAAGACAGGAGAATAATTTTAGCTACAATAAAAAAAGCTAATCCAAGCTGGATTATTGGTTAAAACACCGAAGCTGACCAGAGCTGCGACAGGAAACCTGGGCGCTGCAGCTATTCCAAGTTGCTCGAGGGTAGCTACAGGAGCCCATCAGAACCAGGGAGACCACTGGGTTTGAGCTCGCTCTAGTTAGTAAGTAAGACGAGAGGCCCTCATGTTGTAGCAGGGCCTATCTGTCAGGCCGCCAGCCCCAGAAAACAGAGACAGGCCTTCTGCTTTCTCCAACACCACCTCCAGCTCCTGAAAGTCCTGCAGCCGAGCCACGTCCTTGTCCTGAAAATGAAAAGAGAAATCACCAAAACGTTTTTTTTTTTGTTTTGTTTTTTTGAGTAACTAACTCGTAAACTACACAATGTACGGTAATCACACTAAACAGACGGGGCACATGCTACAATACAACACGAGCAGCCTACCTTTCTTAGCAAGGTGTTTGGCAGTTTGCGGATCTTCTCCACGTGCTCGGCACTGATGTCCAACTCGCGGCAACAGACTCTCAGCAGGGACCGGTAGGTGAGTTCTTGACGATCCAGCTCCACTTCAATAAAGTCGTTCTCACGAGCGTTTGGGTTTTGGATACGAACCTTTAATACCAACTCTACAAAGAAGTGCAAAAGCCATACTTCATGGTAAAAAAAAAAGAAATAAAAACACTAAGTAGACAACAAGAGAACGAATACCAGGGGTGGGAATCACTTTAAGTGTGCTTGTTTAATTCTTATAAAGAAACCCTGGCTGTTGTTTTTGCTTGGACAGGCTGTTGAAAAGGCGATTCTACACCCAATAGGAGCCCATTTGATCACTGAAAATGGTTAAAAAAAACACGACTAACCAAAGCTGATGAGAGCCTGCAGACTTCTTGCTTTTAAAGCATCAGAAAGGTTCTATTTATGAAATAAGTCCATAACAATGCAAAAATATACTCGTAACGAGTTGTACAATTCCAAGTAAACCCACCTTGAACGTTGACAGGGAAGGTGCTGGTGAAGAAGAARGGCTGAAAGGCTGGCATGGGCCCATTTCCCTGGCTGTAGCTCAGCTGCTGCGGAATAGACTGCTGCCTGCTCATGGTCGGGTTTGTGCTTCCCACTGGGGGCTGAACCTGGGCGCCGCCGTTGCTWGCCAAGCCAGGACACGTTGGCGCCGAAGGAGGCGAACCCACAGCACCGTTGTGTGCCACAACATGGGGGTAATCAGAGTGGTTGACCAGGTGAGGCTCAACTGACAGATCCATAGGCACTGTGCTGTTGGCAATAGCGTGGTTGTGGGGTGAGGCCACGCCGTTTTGCTCAAAAACGTGGATAAACTCACTAGCTGGGGGCTGACTGTGGTTGACAGCCAGGCTTGGAGGAGGAGTAGGGCCATTAGAGACCAGACTCTGGGATTTCTGAAGCTCATCCGTCGAGGAAAGGGAGGTGGAATCACTCTGGGTGTCCTCAGTGTATTCTCTAGAGCCGTTTTGTGCGTGGTTCTGGATGATCTCTGACTTGTCCATCTTGGAATACATAAAGGGTGGGTTGGACAGATAATTTGGGATGATTGGCAACTCGGGCTCCTTGACTTCAGGCACTTCTTCCACTTCAACTGCGGGAGGAATGAGTAGAGAGGATTACTCCGGGGGGTCCCAAAACACGTAAATAATCTGACAACACAGAGCAACAACAACCGAGAAGTACAGAATGAGAGAGATTATGAAAAGAACAAGGAGATACCTCCTAAAAGTCGCTTGATCTCTGGTTTGGACGTTAACTGTGACGCCAACTCGTCTTTAGCCGTGAGGATTTCTTTATCCGCACCACAGCTAAGTAAGTAGGACACTATGTGCTTATGGTTCCTCTTGCAAGCCCAGTGCAGGCATGTCCTGGAGGGAGTATTTAAGAAAACAGACAATTTAATTAACAAAAACATACTGCAACAAATTATTTGAGTTCAAACAATCATCTGAGAATTGCAAGTCAGCAAACAGGTTGCTTATATTATGAAGTTGGAGTCTGTGTTGCTTCTAGTGTGCAGGAGTAAAAAAAAAAAAAAGTAACATTCCGATACATTTCCGGTTTGGATAAGGAAGACAAAATAAAAACAAGGCTGGCTGCATAACAAGCTCTGCGCCTAATAGGATAACGCTGGGCATTTTAATCTCGTTGGTTCACGGCTGCTAAAATAAGACTGAGTTAGAGAACAAAACAGACACTAGTTAGAGGAAATGGAGACTGTAATAATTCACCGAGAACACTCACCATCCATTGATTTCGTTTTGCGAATTGACATTTACCCCGCTCTCCAGCAGCGACCGCACTTCCTCGATATCTCCGATAGCAGAAGCTTCTCTCAGCCGCTCCTGTAATTCTTTATCCAAAGTCGTGGACATTTTTGGCATAGACAACTAGCGGTGTGAGGTCATGTGACAAACAAATACCTTGCGAATTAATGAAGTTGACAAAAGCCGAAGAATTCCCAAACTGTTTGGCCCGGCTGCTCTTGGTTAGCTTGGTGCTAGCTTGTGGCAGCGAATTGCTTCAGCTAAAGTAACTTCGTTTTAGTGTGTCTTTTGGCGCTTAAACATGAAGTTCTGTCCTCGACATTTATTCCTGGCCCCTCGGTTCCACTGCCATTATCTAGTTTACTAATTTAATCAAAGAGAAGTGGCGGCGCTGCGTCCGTGCGCTGTCAAAACACCACCGCCTGGTCGGTGGGGAAATGTTTAGAGGTGACAACACCACGCACACATGTYGTTAGTTCCCATCTAAGTTTTGCCTGGATTTTTTTAGACATTTCCTTAAAAATAAATCGTTTGAAACTAACTATTCACCAGGGATTATATTTTTTAGGAATAGTCTCGACAAACAAATTGAAGTATTGCAAATAAACAACAGGTGGGCTTATTTCTGAATGAATGCCCAAGGAGGCTTACACCGGAAGATGTCGAAAAAATATTGTTTCTTTCCAAAAGTAACTTTTATTGTGTTTTTATTATTTGTGTCAACAATAAAAAGTTAGTGCATACGAACATGAACAATGTATTAATTAATTGTTCAAATATTCTACTTTTAAATTTTAAACATGACCACCAGTGGGCGTAAAG